CCAATAAACTAGACAGTTTTTAGGTGGTTTTTAGACAGTTAACACGTTGTCAACTGGCAGTTTTTAGGCAGACTGTAAACTGGCAGTTAATGAGCAGTTTATTGCCCGTCTTTTTTCTCCTGGGTATCGTATGTTACTAAGCCAGACGTTTCAATTTATTAGTTAAATTTTCTTCAGTGGCACAAATTTTAATAATTATTATCTGCATTCGTGTTTAAAGTTTCCCAAATTAAGAAGAAATCTTCTATGTCTCTGTATTGAAATTAACCATTATCTCTGATCATCGTCTTTAAATTCATCAAACTCTTACATGTTACTTCAAAATGTTTTATCTTATCGTGTGCCAACTATCACCACCCATTACAAACCTACACAGGCTACTCTGGCATGATCAAATTCATTTCAATCATTTGCTTTTGAACGAAGGTTAAAGTATCATATCTAACGAAGACGTTTACCCTAGTGGTACTTAACGCATGATAATGAAGCCAGTCCATGGTGGTTTTCCACAAGTAATTTTACTTACAAGTACTTTGAGTTAACGGTTAAGTAGCTGACAAACGTACTTGAATCCAGTAAAAGTAAATTTACTTGAAAATTTTCAGTGATGATAATTGGTGAGCACTTAGACAAAAATGTCGTAAGTAACAGCACTTGCCTTGTTCTAGTTCAAGTGAAAAATAATTGGAAAGAAATTAAAATTCCGCTAGGAAAAATTAAAATACATGTTTAAACGAATGATAACATGCACACGCATTATTTATCAGCAGAGCAAACAGCAGCACAAGAAATTATAGTACATATCGAACGCTTTACATTTATCTATTTGAACATTGTTTCTTTTTACCAAGATACGATTTTGTAACATATGGTACTTTTGATGGTTTTAATAGATTTTCTTTTGTGGCACAAGCCCCGCTACAACTATAAGTTTCTGGAACTGGATTAACACCAAAACTAACATAATCTTCATAAGCTTGCATAAATGTTTGAATTGGTAGTGTTTGCGAAGCAATACCATGTAAATCAGAAAAAACATATATTTTGTTAAATCTATGAGATCTTCGACATAAAGAGATGAAGCTGGAAGACGTGTACTTGAAAACAATTGCCAACAGACACAGCTTATATGATAATGCTCAAAAATTATGGTTAGTTATATACGATTGGAAACTTAGTTAGTTTGAAATTTGATAAAATTGATAGAACTAACACAACACCAAAGATTTTACAATGCAAAGTCATTTCAATACAATCATCCTCTGATAATACGCATATTTCGTGTTTTTGTACAACAAAATTTGTTCTGTCCACGTCAAAGTCGACTTTTACGTAAGTAACGTTTTGTTAAATTCGTAGCTCGTCATTCTCGCAAAGTAGAATTGGAAAATTTTGCTCCAATGTCTTATTTTGTAGCTTAAAGATTTTCTTTTAAATGGTAATTAACCAATTTCAAAGTCTAACAGCTGACTAGTTTAAAGAAAATGTTGATTAGTTTTGGTATGAGTCGCTTTCGTATAAAATGGTCTTATTGACGCGAATTACAGGGAAGTGTTTAGATGGTTAGGTACAAAACAAGACGTTTCCCAACTTTGCACGTTGCTTGGTTGAGGGGCTATGAATTTCGCGAAACGTGAAAATACGTGTTCTGACTTGTATGCGTGAGTATACCGTCACTGTTTAGATGTTCGTATGCGATGTGAAAATGCTATCGAAAGTAAAATTTACTTATTACTATTACAAATCCTTGAAAGGAGACTTGAGCGGTAATGTAATCGATCTAGCTGTGATTTAGAAGATTTCTATTTCAATTTTTTTATTGCACAAAATCTACAAAAGCAACTTGTAAGCAAATTTACAACTATAGTGATAATTGGTAAGTGTCTGTTACTACTCAAAATGTCGGTTTAGTTCATGAATAAGAAAATCCTCATCATTCATTTGATTTACACTGGATATTGATTTGAGTTTCTTCTGTTTTGGTTCATCGTTAAATTTGCGTTGTTTCTCGTTGCTGATATTTCTTTTCAAATTAATTTCACTAGAAAATAGAGACTAATAAGTGATACATAAATAAAAGTCTAATCTGCGTTACCTAAATAATTGTTGTTCAATTTCATTTTCTGTTTTCATTTGAACAATATTGATTAATAGATGATCGATCATTTTTTGTTGACTTTCAATAGTATGTTCGTATTCAATTAATTTACGTTTACAAGTTTTCAATGCTTTTGTCTTTTGTTTAACTATTAATTTTAAATATCTTTCATTGTCAATTTTCGGCGTTGATCTATTTTGTTTATTCTCCATATTAAAACTATAAAATAACAAAATGTTCATAACAAAAGCAAGAAACACGAGGTGCTTAATCTAGTTTTTTTGAAATGACTACTTGTGAAGCTCATCGAATGATCGTATTTCTCTCTCTTCTTAACTATCTTACAGTATTCATTCTTGCTCAAAGTCAGATAAGATAGAAGATTAACCAACTAGTAGAACTTCTTACTTGTTTTATCTCGTGATGTTCAGTGGAAAAAATTGAATTTTATTGTGTAACGATAAGTGATCCTTCAATCGTATTTTATATCCTTGATGATTAAAAAAATATTCTCAATTAACGTGTTTATATTTTTGAATCACATACTTTTAATTAGTAAAAAAAGATTTGATTCAAAAAATCAAACTTTGTTCTGAAAAATACAGCTTGAGATAAAAAAGAAGCTGCATCATTTTTAATTCAATGATGAATATTTGCACTGAAGTTACATGAAGAAAATATGATTTTATGTGATTGAAAACATATCTTTGAACTGAAACTAACATAGAATGAAACTTAAATTATATTCATCCATAGTGCAATTTGACGAGATTTGAAGAAGAAGCTGAAAAATTGTCTCTTCTTTTTTGTCAATACTTCATTGTTTTCGTAAAACAGTATCCACTATAAATCTGTCAATTAGAAATCAATATCTTTTTTGTCATGAAATATTTTTTTCATTTTTCTATTTTTGCATGTTTTTGTGATCTTAAAAATATCATTTTTTTGAAATTTTACATAATTCTCTTTAAGTACACTTACTTTCAAAATGAGTAAAGAAAACAAAAATCATATGATAAATAATGTTCTATATTTTGTGCTAGAAGTGGTTTAAATGCTGAATGTATTAAACTACTTATATGTTGAATAAGACTTTTATATGAAAAAAATAAAACAATGAATCGTTTTTTCTTGCCTTGTTTTGGATATTATTTTAAAAAATTATTTCATTTATCTTTCGGTACGTTGATATCTAACTCAACTTTCATTTAGCATGGATGTAAAAGACCCAAAAGTATCAACCAAAAGTACACCAATAAGAGAAGCATTGACACCAAAACTTAACAATGAGGATGGCAATAGTCAACAATCGCCAACAACAACAGTTATAAATTTAAATGAAGAAATACAAATTTTACCAAAAAATGTTCGAAAATTACGGCGTGGTAGTACAAGCACTATAACATCACTCAGTACTGCCATTGTTCAAAAAAAGCAGCTAACAGATAAAAGGTTAGTGTATGTAATAAAAAATGTGTGAAAAACTTCATCAAAAAATCTAAATTTTTTTCTTTTTTAGTGGTCGACAATCAAAACGACATGTACCAAAAAAACCTTTGATTGATCAAACTGAACGTTCACCAAATTATCATCCATGGAGTAAAAGATATATAGCAATCATTACTCGTCCACCAATGAAAAAATGTATGTCCAAAACTCCTTTTCATCGTCTATATTATAGGGAAAAAATATGTGAAACAACTGAAAAAATACCAAATTTATTGTCAATGCAAGTTATAAAAGTGAATACGATAGATGTTCAATATATACCTCGAAGATGTAAGTACATTATTTTTATCGAAAAAACAAGATCACATTATTGATATAGAGTTCAAAAATATTCTTTCAAAATACTGACAATAAAAAAAATTTTACATTTTACTTTAGCTAGTTCAAGACCACCCACTCCTGTTATAAGATACGTACGACGATTACCTTCTGAAATACCACTAATACCTGTTGAACAAGTAACCGAGAAAGAACCAGATGAGATGGTGCAAACAATAAATTCGATTAAATCAGCATTAACATCACCGGTGTCTCAACCGATTATTGTGGAAATATCAAGACCCAATACTGCTACCACAACTTTAATAAATAGAGCAAAATTAGCCGAAAAACTAATCAAACGACCACCACGACGGATTTATAATTTTTCCAGAGAAACAGTTATTCCACTGGCGGCATTTGGTTAAAAAAACAGCTGTCATCAGATATCTACGTATTAGTTGTAAAATATTTTAATATACGATTGATATGATAAACTTGAATTCTTCGATATGTACATATATAATCACAGAGTATCCACGGATGCCACAAGTCTTTTGTTCTTTTTTATGATATCCTGTTCTTGCGTAAAATAAAATCTTATCTTATCTATTTATAATCTTTTTAGAAACTCTTTATAAAATATTGTGAAAAAAAAATAGTTTTTCAGAAGAAAGAAAACTAATACTCGCTATTAATCTTTTTATGTCCTATGTCTTTCGGAAGGGACATTTGCATAATAGATGTAGAGCAATAACGAAATGTTATATCAAAATATTTGGTCTCATACGGATTTTGGGGAAATTGAATTGAAAAAAAAAAATTCTGTTTAATATTTAAAATAATTGAATTATTTAAATTTTAAAAAGAATTTGAATTTAAATTTGTCGAGTTGTCAGAGAGTATCTTTTATATTCACATCTTCTTCGATAGTTGGCCGAAAATGTCCATTTTCAAGCTAAGCTAATTGAAGGATTGAATAATGGAGTTGTATGGCTGCTGCTGGTACTCGTTTGTTAGATTTTTGTATCTCTCTTCTTGATCAATTGTCTCTTTTTTCACTATCTCGGCTGATTTTCCATGCATAATATTCCAAAGCAAATGTTTTGTACTTACATGTGTCTACTCCATGACTTTTAATCGATAGTTACAAAAAAAATTTTTTTCAAATTTTGCAATTGTAATTTCAGGTAAAAAAGTTCAACTTTTACAAAAATTCTTTTTATTTCATCATTTAGTCATATCATGAATCATAATTAAAAGTCCAAACATATAAAGTTTCGATGAATGAGTGTAGTACGAAATGCGACCAGGTCGCGATTTGAATTAGAAACGTTGGACCATAAAGTCATGTTTTTCGCAAAATGTTAATAATTTTTGAAGAAAAGAGCATGAAGAGCAGGGAGACGTTTTTCATTCTGAAGATAACAATTCACTCTAAAAAGACTGGCTCTTTGAAAAAAAACTTATTTTACAGTAAAGAAAAGAAAAGAATTTTTGTAAGTCTAAAATTAGAAATTTTCCAACATACAACGTCAGACATCCTCAAAACTTTATTTTTTGTCAAAGAAAATTTGTCATGGAATGTTGGAACATACAACATGTTTCACTCAAAAGTTATTGTTGTTGTTTTTTAAGAAAGAGTGGATAGGGTTAAACTGATGCGATATTGTTAATATTCATAAAGATAGATCTCTTCTGAAAACTAAATTGAATTTAAAACAAAAAAATTTGATATGAAAATGTATCTTTATTAAGTTCACTTTTCACAAATAGAAGAAAGAAATACACATCTTTATCTCAACTGATGATTATTCAGAAATAAAAAAAAAAAAAAGTATTAGAAAAAAATGAATTGAAGAAAAAGTTTCATGATTAAATTTTATTTATTGAAAACCAAAATACATAAATAAATAGTGATGATATTCAACCGATTAATACCAAAAATATAGAGATAAGTACTGTAACACTAATATCTAATTATAATATCATTGTAAATCTAATCAATTGTTTCAGACAAAAAACTTTCATATAATTCTTTCTAAAACAAAGAAATATTGTAATTATTTGATTGTTTTCGAGTTTTTTTTTTATAAAAACAAAATAAAACTGAACCTCTTTGACAAGAACATTTGTCTCTAAATAATGTTTATAATTTGAGTACAATTTTTGTTCGCGTGAACTTAAGACTGGTGATTGTCGTCTAAAATAAATTTAAAAAAATTTTCTTAAATAAATCATTTAAATAATTTTTGTCTCATTTTTTTTTTTATCACTTCGTACCGTAGAAAAAATTGTCCAAGAAAAAATAATAGAAGGTTAATGAATGCAAATAACAAAAGAAGATGATCAGATGGATAAAAAAATCCATTACCAATACGAGTCTAAAGAGAAATAGTGAGTAGAAGAATAAAGAATAACAATTATTCCTTTATCTAAAATATTTAAAAATGTGAAGTGTACATACAAATACTGTTTCTAAAATTGATAAATAAGCAAATGTTGATGGAATAGCGGATGTATCATCATTAAACCATGAGATTACATGTCGTCGAATAAATAATAGAGATGAAAGAAACAAAAATAAAATTGAAAATAATTGAAATATATATAATTTTATATTCCAACGACGTTGATGATAACGAGTAACTCTAAATAGAGAAGATTATAAAATGTAACGAGTCAGATTAAATATTAAATAATATATACCCGTCTGAACTCAATTTATCTGTTATACATTTGATTAAATTTTTACAATCTAGTTGCAATGTATTCAATGATTTTTGAACACCACTAAATACAGCATGATCAATTGTTGTACAAACTTCATTTATTTGATTTGTACAACGTGTTTCCTAAAGAAAGAAGAGAAATAAATATACAATAAGTCTAATGGAGAGATTGCTCATGATCTCTACTATAGAACAGGCTATGATTCTCTATAAATGAAAATTTACAATAAATCTATGTAGTTGTCGACTCCAAAATCATGTCATAGATCACGTACTTTTGAAGAAGAAGCATTGAGAAAAAATCTCTTCAATAGTCTGTGTATGTATAGGAGTACCTCTTCAAGTACTCTTACAAGTTTTATTCCACGTGCTTAGGATTTTACGAAAATATTTGCTAAGTACTCACAGAAAGTCAGAAGTAAATAAATATCTATTCTTAAGTATATTAACACATTCACTGCCGTATATGTTGAATGACGTATTCACGTCATATATTTCACAATAGGTGGCAGTGAATGTGTTAACTAGGAACTATTATTAATGGTTCGCTCCGTCTGAAGTAAGTCACTTTCCTTGAACTATTGACGATCTTTATTTATGAATATTTTCCCCTCATTAATATCTAGATTTTTCTTCATTTACTTTGGCTAAATCAGGTAAATATATTGTTGGCATATCAAATGATGTTTTTGATATTTCGGGTTGTCGACAGAGATTTTGAACAATTTGCATTAAAACACGATGACGATCACGATCTGTGCCTGCTTCATCAGCTTTAGCTAAATAATAATGCATTTTCTCAGGATTAAATTTGTTTAATTTTTCAACTAAATTTAATGTTCTTTTGCAAAGTGCTTGACCAATTGGATCAAATAACACGAATATTAAATCAACATGATGACCTGTATAAATTTAAAAGACAAAAAAAATTATTAAAAAACCAATTTGAAACTAAAAAATAACAATACCGAACCACAAAATTGCTTGATCGACATCAAATGGATACGCCATTTGACCATCAACCAGACCTGGTGTATCAATAAATGTCACCATAGGGAACTTTCTTTGTTTAGACGAACTTATTTCAGTTGTTAAATAATTGAGTAAGCCTAAGAAGAGATGAATGACAAAGAGCTTTTTTATCTCCTCTTCATTTCTCACCATGTATATTTGATAATGGATGTAAATACGGAAACAAATGTAATGTTGCTGGACCCTTAAACCAAATAAACAATAATTAGAAACAGGATTATTCAATAGGGAATAAGATAAAAACACCTTTTACCATTAGCGTTTCTCGTCGTTTTCCACTTTGAATTATTGAAATACCTATTAAAGAAAAATCGAAAATATTAGAGAAAAAAAATGAAAAATCATGTCAATGTTACCCTGTGTTTCAATTGCTACTCCTGTTCGTTGAACATTATCTTCAATATACCAATTGATTAACGATGATTTACCAGCTGAATGATTTCCAATTAATAAAATATTAATTTTTTTATTCGGTGCCATTATTTGTACTCCCAAACGTTGACTTATTGCTAAAAGGCCTAAAAAATATAAACCATTACGTATTTACTATACCGTGATTAATATCGAATGAGTTACCGTTATCTGAGCGATGGTATAATAGGTCAATTTCATTAACAATTTGTTCATACCGTGGTGTGATAATACGCTGCATATTTTCTGGTAAGCCAGTCATTCTTAAATAATTTGTCTATAGAACAAACAGTTGCACGTATACACAGAAAACTTCGTCTACGCAAAAGGTCGATTATAGTCTTACTAAACTGCAGAGTCAAGCAAAAAACATGAAAAATATAAAAAAAAAAAGCACTTCTCTTGAAAAAGTTTGGTAAGGCTTAAGAATATTTTCTCCTCTCCCTATCGAATTTTTACCGACACGTATAGATCGTTTTTAAAGAAATATTAAACCAAAAAAACAGATGCGGCAATAAGGTACTTATTTTCTACTCGTATAAATCTAGAAAGAAAATGGGGCTACCTAAAACACTCTTAGTATAAATAAAACGATAAATCCCCAAACTATTAACACCCCTTATCGCTTCGCTTAATTGTACCCTGCATTCGAATATTGGCGCTCGATCGCCATCAGTTGCTTGTTACGGTCGTAAATCTTAACAAGACGGATGATCATCATAGTATACTTATGAGTTTTGACAAAAATCATTTTTAATCACATGGAAGAGATATACGAGGAAAAGTGTGATACCTCATGGCCAACAACTAGCGCCATTATTGATAAACTTTGCCGGTTTTTGTTAAGTGCAAAATGTATAGAATATAGATTTACTGCATAGATACGGATTCCAGATGAAGTAAAAACATAGCTATGAAGTTCGATTCGTTGACGAAAATTTTTAAGGCGTTCGTGTTGATAGCAAGATGGAGTATTAGTATTAGTCATCGCATAGTGATTATTTTTATGAGAGAAATGATTGCCAACTGCAAAAAAAATATAAGGTGTAAAATGATATTACTTTTTTCATGTTATTCTTGTACGATTGATGGCCCTAGTTTTGGTTTTGGAAAACTTTTTTGATCGTTTCGAGACTTTTTGTTTTAGACCATCATTTGTGTTAATATTTAGCACAGTACTTTCTGTTACTTTTTGTTTCTTTCGACTGAGTAGCAAATTATAATGGCCGCAGACGAATGTAGCATTAGAGTTGTATGTCGTTTTCGTCCGTTAAACGATTCAGAAGAACGTGCTGGTAGCAAAAGTGTTGTAAAATTCCCACCTGATCAAGATGAAACTGTTCTTATAACTGTATGTAGACTGTTTTGAAAATAATTCTCAGATTAACTGTATTATTTAAAAATGTTCGTTAGGGCAAAGTTTATGTATTTGACAAAGTATTTCGACCTGATGCTACTCAAGAAAAGGTTTATAATGAAGCAGCAAAAGAAATTGTCAAAGATGTTTTAAGCGGATATAATGGAACGATATTTGCTTATGGTCAAACATCAAGCGGGAAAACACACACTATGGAGGTACGTTTTTGAATGTTCATGGAATTTCTGTACTAGTTATGACTCTTCCTTCTTGCAGGGTGTACTTACCAAAGAAAATGAACAAGGTATTATTCCACGAATTGTTCAAGATATATTCAATCATATCTACACATTGGATTCAAATCTTCAATTCCAAATAAAAGTATGTATATTAGTTGTACTCAGTAGTTACATCCAAAAGTCATATATATATATATATATATTTGTTTCAGGTTTCTTATTTTGAAATATACCTTGATAAAATTCGTGATTTATTAGATGGTATGTCAATATAATTATATTAAACTAATTTTTTTTTTCTAACATTCTTTTCTTTGTTTTAGTTTCAAAAACTAATCTCTCTGTACATGAAGATAAAAACAGAGTTCCATACGTTAAGGTAAACGGAGAAAAACGATCTTTTTCGTTGAAGTATTATCTTATAACTTCTTTTTATATTGTAGGGAGTTACTGAACGTTTCGTCTCATCACCCGAAGAAGTCTTCGAAACAATTGAAGATGGAAAAACAAATCGTCATATAGCCGTAACAAGTACGCGGATAGAGTTATTTTATAGCTTAATCTATCTCTTTCTTCGTTTTAATAGATATGAACGAGCATAGTTCTCGTTCGCATTCTGTTTTCTTAATCAATGTCAAACAAGAGAATGTGGAAACAGAGAAAAAATTAACTGGAAAACTTTATTTAGTTGATTTGGCGGGCAGTGAGAAGGTGGTTCATCACATATGGTCCATTCAAGATATTGTAATGTTGATGTGTTTAGGTATCAAAAACTGGTGCCGAAGGACAGGTGCTCGATGAAGCGAAGAATATTAATAAATCCTTATCAGCACTTGGCAACGTTATATCAGCATTGGCCGATGGCACAGTAATTTTCTTATTTCTTTCCATCTTATTTCACTTGTTAGATTCACGATTTTCTAGAAATCACACGTGCCTTATCGTGATTCAAAGTTAACTCGTATACTGCAAGAATCTTTGGGTGGTAATGCCCGTACAACAATAATTATTTGTTGTTCACCAGCTAGTTACAATGAATCAGAAACAAAATCAACTCTTGAATTTGGAAAACGGTATGAAGAAGATTGTGGTGTATTAAACTTAATATGTATATTTATTTTAGAGCTAAATGCATAAAAAATTCTGTTACAGTTAATGAAGAACTAACAGCTGAAGAATGGAAACGTCGTTATGAAAAAGAACGTGAAAAAGTAGCTCGTCTAAAAGGCCAACTTAGTAGAGCTGAAGCTGAATTAGAACGATGGAGACATGGTATGTATGATGGTGTCTGTTATAAAAACTTGTGAAAAGCACAGTAGCATGTGGTATATACGCTTTGTTTTAGGAGAAACTGTAACAAAAGATGAGCAAGTGAACTTACTGGAAACAGATGATTCATTATTACCAATTTCAGCGACACAATCCATGCCATCGTTAGCTAATGCAGTTGCACCAACCGTCGGAATACTCGCTGCAAGTTCTGCGTCTGTTACAGTGACTGGTCCAGCAATTCCGATTCTTACTGCTAATATGGAAGAGTGGGATAAAGAACGTACAACGTTATATCAACAATTGGATGAAAAAGTAAATTCACACAAATAGTTTCATCTTTCAGCTACATTCGATGCTTTTTTCTAGGATGATGAAATTAACAATCAATCACAACTGATTGAACGTCTTAAATCACAACTGTCTGAACAAGATGAAGGGTTTAATCAAGCAAGGTAGGCGTCAATATATTTCTATTACAGTTTCACTTAAAGCATTATCAATAATTTTTATTTATAGAAAAGATAATGAGAATTTACATGCCGAACTAAGCCGTTTACAACAAGAAAGTGAATCGTCGAAAGAAGAAGTTAAAGAAGTCCTACAAGCATTAGAAGAATTGGCAGTCAATTACGATCAAAAAACGCAAGAAGTTGAAACGAAGAGCAAAGAAAACGAAACTTTAGGACAAGAATTAGACGCAAAATTAGTATGTACAACGAGATTATTTTCGAAAAGAGGGGAAAATATTATTTATTTTTTTGTTTGAAATAGGCATCATTAAACGGTATTCGTGAAGAACTTGAAAGTCTTCGTGAAGCATCACAAACACAACGTAAACGTTTTCTTGATATGATTCTTGTATTGTTGCGTGATGTTGGCGATATTGGTAGTGTAATGGGAGGACAAATGAATGAACAAAAGGTAAATGAGATACAATCTGGGGGTTTCCAAACTAACATCTGTTTTTTTATTCAGAAACCGACAATTGAAAATCTAGATCAAGCTGAAGAAGAATTTACGCTTGCTCGTCTCTATATGAGTAAATTGAAGACAGAAGCACGTACAATTACTGGAGTAAGTGATTTACAAGATTTATTGAGGATTGATAGTTAGTTATTCTCTTTGTTTAGCGTTTAACTGACTTAGAAGTGGAAAAAGTCAATCATCAAAAAGGAATTGAGTTTAAAGACAAAGAATTAGATGAATCACGTTTACTTATTCAACAACATGAAGCGAAAATGCGCTCTATGTTAGAAACAATGAAAGAATTAGAAGAAAAGAAACGGGATTTAGAACGGACACACGATACAATCAGCGAAGAATTAGTTAAGTTACGAGCCCATGGTGTTGTTATTGGCACTGGTGGTTCAACTTCGGATGTACAAAAAGAACTGAATCAACAAATGGAACAAATTAGTGGACAACATCAAAAACAATTGACTACATTGAGAGATGAAATACGCTCAAAAGAGTCTCAAATGGAAGCATTAAAAGAGTACGTATTTTTTCTTCGGGCTTTACCATTCATTTCGTGTTTTATATATTGTAGTACGTTACAAAAACTTCAATTATCCTATGAAAAATTATCGGGTGATTTTGATAAACTGAAAAAGGAAGAAAATGAGAAGTCAAGCAGATTACAAGAGATGACGTAAGAGAGAGATAGACAATTACTTTTGTGTAAGAGGCTTACTAAGAATCTTTTTTTCTCTATAGTTTACAACAAGAACGACGAGAACAAGCCAAACAAGACTTGAAAGGTCTGGAAGAAACAGTAGCAAAAGAATTACAAACTTTACATAATTTACGAAAATTGTTCGTACAAGATTTGCAAGCACGTTTAAAAAAGGTGAGGCAAAATTTAGCTGTTTCGACAGTTCTATCTTTATTGCTTTTGTTTTCTTTACTTTAGTCACAAAAACAGCCTGATGCAGAAGAAGATGATTTAGGTGGTAGTGCTGCTCAAAAACAAAAAATATCATTTTTAGAAAATAATCTTGACCAATTAACGAAAGTTCACAAACAGGTTAGTCGTCTTTTCTAATTCCTACTTCGTATACCCACTACTTGTTCTTCTATACTTCCCCAGCTTGTGCGTGAAAATGCCGATTTACGTTGTGAATTACCAAAATTAGAAAAACGACTTAAAGCTACGATGGATCGTGTTAAATCGTTAGAACAAGCACTAAAAGAAGCGAAAGAAAGTGCAATGAAAGATCGTAAACGTTATCAATGTGAAGTTGATCGTATTAAAGAAGCCGTTAGACAACGTAATCTTGCACGACGAACAAACACAGCACAAATTGGTATAGTACACTGTTTTCTCGTTCGCATCATGTTGTACATCTCTCTTTATTTTTGTTTTAGTGAAACCAATACGAGCAGGGCAGAACCCTTCAACCAGTACATCAACACCTATTCCAACTATTCGTGGTGGTAGTCAATCTACAGAACCTTAATTAGGTATATTATTATTTATAGTATAAAAACAGATAAAATCTTAGAAGTAATTCTAGGACAAGTTTCGTTATACTTTAGTAATTATTGTAAAAAAAGTATCTATTTGTTTATTTTAGATGAATTGGAGATCACAAAAGAAAATGATGATGAAGGTTTACACATTCAAGCTTGTTTATCTCATTTTCACATACCACAAAACTTACGCGAGCGTCTTTTTCTTCTCTCATTTTTAATGTATTTTATAGACTAAGTGCACATATTACTGCTGTCCCTACATCTTATTCTTTCTTTCTCTCGTTTTGTATGTTTTACAATTTCGTAGAAGGGAATTTTTATTTGTGCTCATCTTTTATTTCTTTTGGAATAACGACAAATTTGAAATGACTACAAATTCTATTTATATTCATGTGCGTATCAGATTTGTACTGTTTTCTTTGACAGACAATTTAGGATATTTCTTGTCGCCTAGCGAACAGGTCAAATATATTTTAAGTATTCATTTCGTTTTATATGTAATTCAGTGTAATCTTGTTTATTTTTAACGGTGATCTCTCTCGTACATTTTTTCATGCTTCTTTTTTTGATTTTTAAATGTTAGAATGATATTTACCTATCATTCGTTTTTTTTTTGCTCTGAACAGAATCAACTAACTTAATGTTTCAGATTTTGTACACAATCTTTTTTTGCTAACACATTTTTGAACAGTTGATGAATTAGTTTTATTCCCTCTCTCTCTCATGTTTTGAGTCTCATGGGTGTATATACACACACATATATATATTAAGATATTTAAATTTTTTGTATCTCCTATTTAATCGGACTTCAGTATACAAAAATTTGGTTTAGGTTTTATGTTTTCATTTCCCAATATACGGCTGATAAAATAATATTTGGCTGTGTTAGCTGCTGTTGTTGTTGTTGTTGTTGTTGATGTTGTTTTCTTTTCTTTTTCTTTACTATTAATATAAAATATATCCATAGATAATAGGGGCTTTGTAACAAAAGAATAACGATCTAACTGTTTCTGTTTTTTTTACTCTTATTCACATGCTTTGTGATTGTACATGTACATATTAAACTCAGTGGAATAAATATCATTTTTGCAAATAATGTCATGATCTTAAACACGAAATTTTATCATCTGTTTGTATAAATCTCTTTATTACATGAAGTATGGATGGATTAATATATATCCTAGTTTTTATGCGATTTTTAATGCAATGAAATGATTTCTTGTTTTTTTATACTATAATTTAAGTTTTGTCGTTACATTCAATGCAAAAAGCAATAATTTCTTATCAGAGTATGATAAATGATTGCTAGGATATATTGTTGAGATTTATTATACAAATAATTCATCATTCAGTAGTTTTTGTTCTTAACTGAACGCATTGGGGATTTTAAACCGTTTCAGTCGTTGTACCGAGATGCTGGCTATTTAAGTAATTATCAATTAATAACAACAATACAACGATTACCACAATCTTTACATTTATTGAATTGAAAGCATATTATCTCCCCCCCCCCCGCCAGAAAAAAGAAATTGACGTTGACGAAGATTAACTGAACAATGCATTTTACTCAATTAACCCCTGTCTTTATACAATTAGAAGAAAAATCTACTTTTAAATAGGTTTTGTTAAAGAAACCAAATTTTGTGCAATGTCATCTCATTGTTCAACCGGTCATGTATCGTTCGCACTCTCATAAGAATGATAATGAATAAAAATCACTTGATTAAAAATTTTTAATCGATTTAATCAATAACAACGGTAGCAAACAGGTGTTTATTCAATACTATAATATATCATAAAATTGTATTCATTTAGACAATCAATAGATTCAATCTGTTTGAATTGAGTATCAACATTTTTTCATTTATTTATTAGTTTTACATCATTTTTTATTTGGATTATTTCGATCTTTTACAGTTTATCAAAAAATTCTTAAGTAATTTCTAATTTTTAGAGTAAACTTAATATTCGATTATTTTGTTTTGTTTTGATAGAAATTTTGTTTTTAGAATGACATCTTACTTATTTCCTTCATCATCAAAACAAACATTTATTGTTCTTATTTTTCTATATTTTTTACCAGCTTCTGTCTTAGGCATTGTATTAAAATGTTGGATATTTACTTATATTTTATCAATGTTAATTGGTTACTTATTCTCATCAAAAACAAATATTAAACCGTTAATAGTAAGACCATCATCTTATGCTTTAGTTACTGGTGCTTCAGCTGGAATCGGTCGTTCAATATGTCTTGAATTAGCTCAAAAAAAATTTAATTTAATTATTGTTGCACAAACTTTATCAGCACTTGAAGAATTAGCAAATGAAATACATTCAAAATATCATAATATCAATGTTATTATTATTACTAGAGATTTATCTTTGGAAGATAGTGCTGATCAATTAATACAAGATATTGACTATTATTATCAACAATTGCCTGATATGTGTATTGATATATTAATTAATAATGCTGGTATGGGTTATACAAATAAATTTCTTTCATCATCATCCTTCAATATATATAAAAAAATGTTTTATTTACATATTCAAACTCCAACAAAATTAATTTATTATTATTTACCAAAAATGATTGAAAATAATCGAGGACGTATTGTCAATGTATCAAGTGAAATATCGTATATGAGTTCACCACGTGCTATTGTTTATTCATCAACAAAAGCCTATTTAACATTATTTACAACAGCTTTAAATTATGAAATACAACAAGAAATAATAAAGAAAAAACATCCATTTTCTATTGATAATGAAGGAATTGTGTGTATGTTAGTAACACCAGGACCAACTCGTCAAACATTATTTACTCATCAAGAATCATTAATATTTAAAATTCCATTTGTTAATCTAAATGCTAGTAGAGTAGCCAAAAATATTGTAAAATCATCTATTTATGGTGATGAAACATGCATACCAGGCATGATGAATCGTTTAACAATTTGGTTTATGACAAAAGTACCGTTAAATTTTTGTCATTTAGTGTGTTCTATATTGTGGGGTACATGGACGGATCTAAATGAAATTTTTTAAGTTTAATTAGTTTAGTCTAGTCATTTTTCCTGTGAACACGTTTTGTTTTTATTCTCTTTTTTTTAACTTTTATAAATGACTGGAATATTGAAAAATAATGTGATCATCTTCTAATGTTTATTTTTCGCCGATATATTGTGTGTTGTTATTACTCCTGACTTAAAGATTTATCTACACACGAATTCATATTCTGATAATATAAAAACGAAAGATAGTTTGATTTTTCTTCTGAGCATATTGGTATTCATTTTACTTTTTATCATGAGAATGTGTAAAAATGCTGTTGTCTTTGTTGAACAAGTGTTTCTAGTATAACAGTACAATCAATCATAATTTAATTTTAATTTTTAGAGATGAATACAGTTGTAAATAATTTAAAATGTTATGTTGCTGCACAAACAAAAAGTCCTAGCAATGCAGAAGATAAAAATGGTATGTTTTAATATGAGTAATTTGTATATATCTCTTTTTCTTTTTGATTATTTTAGATCTTGAACTTAAACTCTTCATGAAATATTTAAATGAAGATAATAAACAATCAGTATTATCATCACCACCTCTTTTAAATATCAGTAAAGATTCAAATGAAAATTTAGCTCAATCATATTTCAAACAACATCATCCAATACCGAAATTTTATGAACATGTAAGAACAATAGAGGATCATTCTCAATACTAACTTTTACTATGAATTATTTATTTTCTCAGATTCCAAATGATGTACTTGGACGAAAACTTCGTGAAGAAGCTCGAGCATTCTTTCTACAGCGTAAAAGTCAAGAAATAATAAGTAGTGAAGATGCAAATGTATGTATTGTATATTAGAGCGTCGTGGGATAAGAAAATTTTCATTCTATGAGATTCAACGGGACCATATTAAATTTTTTTCTCAGGAACTATTTTTTATTAAGGGTACCCCCTCTTCTTTTTTCACCTTGTTGCGGAGCACATGTCCGATTGAGCTCAAATCGTATCGAAGGTTATGTCAGTTGTCATAGAAAGAAAATGTCCGTATCAACTAGTGATATTAGAATCTTGAATAAATATCTGTGTGTAACAGATTTAACTTAAAAAAGGTTGTATATGTGCAGTAGAGACTCTGTTTAGGGGTAAAAAGAGGAGCGGTGTACCCTTAAACAGAGTCTCTACTGCACATATACAACTTTTTTTAAGTTAAATCTATTACACAGATATTTATTCAAGATTCTAAAATCACAAGTTGATGCGGACATTTTCTTTCTATGACAACTGACATAACCTTCCATACGATGCAATTTATTGATATCATTTTTTTACATGGAATGTTCGGAAATCTTCCAACAAGTTTTATGATGATGTAGGAGTAATGTTAGATGAAACTTCTGCAACAGTCATACTTTACTTGAACTTCAATCGAAAAATGCCAATATTTTTGCCGGAATTCTAGACGATGAAATTTTGCCGCTCACGTACACAATTTAAAAATTTTCATTCGGTCTCGCCTCATCCTGTGAATAGTTCATATTGTATCATTCCATCTCATGGATACTTGCCAATATTTTATCTTGATCCTATGAGATCTTATAGAATTCTCGTTCCACGATGATCATTGTTGTATATCAGTTATTCTCTTTGATATGAACAAGACATTTGTGGAGATTTCTTATCTTTTATAGGCTCTACTATCATTGTTAGAACAGAATGCATCGCCACCAACCGATCCTGATTCACCACAGATTAATTATGAAGATTTCAAACGTGCTTTACAGTCATCGAGTGAAACAATATCGTATGTATATTTGATACAAGTCTAGATAAACGTTCTATTAGAGTTGAATCTATTTGAGAATATGCAACGTTTTAGTCAAAAACAATGTACACATATTCGAATTTTAATAATTACTTTTAGTGATCAAAATGGTAAATAGAGTCATTTTTTGTTTTAGAAATTTATTTCCCTATACAATATTTGCTGATTTATATCATAATGATCCTTATGGCAGGGTTCGCATCATCGATTTGTATCAATATACAATGAGAAAAATGTGGTATCATCACTCAAGAATGGGTCTCTCACTTTACGATATGGTTGGTCAAGGTTTCTTAAGAGAATCGGTATGCACAGTTTTGACGAGTATACGTTTTGAAATACGATTATATTTATTTTATTTGTTATTAATTCTTAGGATCTTGAAGATTATATTTATGAATTAATACCAACTATGCAACAATTAGCTCAATTACAAGAAACATTTTATAAATTTTATGTTTGTACAGCTGTTCGAAAATTTTTCTTTTT